AAGGGAAGTAAAAATATCAAGATTGAGATATGGTTATTTAAATATGATGACTGTTTTCTTTTAAAGAATAATATTTTTTAGAAAGTAGATGAAAATGATTTACGAAAAAACCAAAGAAAATGAAAATGATTTAAGAAAAAAAAAGGTTTTATAGCCTAAAAAAAAAGGTGGGTCAACCTGACCCGTACCTACCCTGACTGGTTGATCGAAACCTGTGATTCACGACCCATTAGCCAACACATTTCAATAGCCAATCACTTTGGGCCTTATTTTTTGTAATAGTTAGGCTTCAAGTGTTTAAACTTGGTGGACCTGAGACTTTGGGCTTCAACACTAAAATTTGGGTATAATTCCTATACATTTTTTGGGCTTTTTGTTTGAATGTTTTTGCATCATCCATGTTAATAATGTTTTTATAAAATAAGGTTGCCTTGAAATAATTAATAATGCTTATGAAATATAAACATTATAGATAATTATATATATTTTTGTCAGAATTTTTATTATTGAATGTTTAAAGGAAATAAAGATTCTTCCGATAATGGAACTCTGGAAAGTACGAGTAGTGATTTCTAAACATTCCCTAGGTGAGAAAAAACTTCTAAAAATTACTAAAGTGTTCAAATATTTAGAAACTCTTTTCAATACAAAGATGTTCATTTTTTTAATTTAATTTGTATTTTTTAAAAAAATATATATAAATATTTATGAAAAATGTGTTTTATGAAATAAATTTGTTTATGAATAGTTATATTGCTGTAAAACTTTTAGCATAAAATATTAATAATTAAAAAAATAAATTTCTAATGATAAGATTCTAAAATATTTCGAGTAGTGATGCCTAAGAAATCTCTAAGTGAGAAGATTTTTTTTAAATGCTACTAGGGTATTGGAGTATTTATAAAAAAATCTTCAATATAATAAAAATTTTCCTTTTCTTCTAAATAATATAAGAAAGAAATTAATAAGTAGTTAAAAAAAAGGAAAAATAAAATATGTGTTAACATTTCATTATTTGCATTACATGTATGTCATTTATTTTTTTTAAAAATAAACACAAGCCACTAAGGATGGGATTCTTGAGAAGTCTGGGTAGTAATTCTATATAAATCCTTAAGTGAGAACGTTCCTTTTAATATTACTAAAGTATTTGAATATTTTTAGGGATTTTTCAATATGCCAGGTTCTTATTTATTTTTCAAGCAAATAACTAAAAATAAAAACATGTTTTTTATTAAAATAAAAAAATAAAGCAAATTAATCTTAAATACAAAAATTAGGACCTTTTTTGTCAAAATTAAAAGATAACACATAATTAATTGGTACCTTTTTTTTTAGCACTATGGGAGTGTTAATCTTTAACTACGCGTTATCGACTCCCGAACCTAAATTATTTTTCTCAAACCTAAAAGTTATCTTTTTAATAAATGTTAATTAATTTTGATATTTTATTAAAAAGGTAAGTTTTAATAGGTTGCCAATCACACCTAGCCAAAAAAGATTGGCGAAAATTCCTTTTTTTGTTTTCAAATTAATCTAATAGTCTCCAAAACCGTTACGATAATATATTTGCTATTTTTATATTTTGCCCATATTAGTTTTTTTTTTAATTTTTAAGTATGATTATATATTTTATAGTTTGGAAAATAGGTGTATGCATTATTAATATAATGATTATGGGTATGTATATATCCAAGGTGAAATGCACTTTATATTGAATATATCCACCATGCATATAGCAATTGTGAGAGATCTCTAAGTGAGATACTTTTGAATTATGATAGAAATGCATATAAAAGGGTCATGTTGAATTGCGGTGCCATGTAAATCTTGCAATGTCAAGAATATAAATGAATGTATCCATTTTCATATTATATTTATATCTACTAAAAGTGGATATTGAGTTTTTAAAGTCTTTCAAAACAATTTGAATAAATCAACAAAGATCACTCAATGATTCATTTTATATAGTTCCATGGGTTATCACATCATGGCTTGAATACATGTTTTGTGAATTTTTGTATATGGCAATGAATTGAAACATTCATGAGCCTAGAATTGGACATGGAAAACATATGCATGTTAGTCATATATTAAGAAAATGAAAATGGATGATTATTTGCAAGGATACTCAAATTATCTTATTGTTAGCATATATGGCATCTATGTGCAAAACATTGAAAAATAAAGTGCTCAAGTATCTATGGTACATGAGTTTCTATAATTTCATGCCAAGAGTGCCGGTATAAATTGATATTTGCACCATTAATGTTTGGACTTGATAATGATGTTGGCTTTCAAAAACCCCTAGGCCTTGAAATTGACCACTAAATGAGTTATCCATGGATGAGGTGTTATGACTCTTACATGAACCACACTCTTGGTAAGTTTGAAAATTATTTATTTGTATATATTACACAAATAGTTTTTCTCAATGGTCTTTGTATAAAAGTGATACATGTTTAATTTTATTTGATAATAATCATGACTTTTATAAATGATCTGCATCTCATGATTTTATTAAAAGTTTTGAGATATAGTGAGCGTATAAAATTATATTTACTTTGGAAGTCATAAGTGATTCAAAGATTTTGTGAATTTAAAAAAAAAATTATAGCAAGATGAATGCTATTTGACCTATTTGGGTGATGGACATGGTTTTGCTCATGGTAATAAAAAGGTTAATAGTGTCCATGATGAAATAGATTCATAAGTTTTCGAGAATTGGCATGAAAGTCTTAAAAAGAGATTATAGAAAGTACGAGTTTACTAAAAAGATAATAATTTTAAAATGATTATATTTGATTTCATTCTTATTAATGTATACTCTTGTATTGAGTTTAAATAAAAGTTTTGGAACTTTTATGAGTAAACAAATATCAAGATATAGAATCTTTACTAGTTATTCTTTAATAAGGATGGATTTGGAGGCCTTCTACTTAAAAAAAAAAAAAAAAGTCACAAATAGTGAAAAGATAAATGAAATGACAACTTGATTAAGTATATATGATATCTTGATAATTAAATGCGACATTCTTTAATGAAAGAATGCGTATTTGTACATGGTGGGAGTGATAAGAATCAAAAGAAATAAAAATTACCACCACAATGTTTTAAGATTTTAGTCTAATTTTATAAACAAATTATACAAGCTAATAAGTTTAGTACAACTTATTAAAGTAAATCATAAAATGTCCTTAAATATCTTAAAAGGACTAAAATGGCTTGCTTTATTTATTGAGTTTATCCAGTTTTATAAGAAGTATAATTGTATTAAAGATGTATAAAAGTATGAAAATAGAATGGTTGAAATTTATGAGTACAGAGTTAAGGCCACAACTAAACCAACTATTTCTTAAAATGATAAAAATGAGGCAATAATGTTTAGAGCATATAAATGATATGCAAAATAAAAATTTTGGACATATTAGCCTATTATATATTAGAGATTCAATCTCAAATAGGCATAATTATCATAAAAAAAATTGAATTCAAAGATATTTGGTTACTAGTACTATAAGTATAATGGGTTTAAACCCTTACTATTGACACCAATAATGGGAACCCAACTTTGAATTAGTAACCTCTAATTACAAAGTTTAATGGGTAAAAATAAATTATTGTTATGTGTCTATTAAACACTAGTAAAATCCATTCAAATTTTAGAAACTAGTGTGGTCCATAGCATAAGGAAGATAAGTTTTTATACTCTTAATGGAGTTTATTAGTTAAATGTCTAAAACAATGGAGACATTATGGAAACTCTACCTATATAATGAACATAGAAGTGGTGCCGCTTCAATAATAAAAATTGTGATCTTTCTTATAAATGTTTATGAATATGATAAGTACATGATCATAATAATGTTAAAGCAGTTATAAATCTTTGACAAAAAAATAAGTAAATATTATGTGTTATATCTTTAATTCTAATGCTAGGAGTTGAGGTTTAATCTATACACCAACAACTTCGTTAGAATTATAAGGTATATACGCTAATCGAAAATTTAAATTAAAAGAGACTTTCTTGTATTCATAATATATATTTGTGTAAAAAATTAAAAATTGAGCACCAATATTTCAAACTAGTGGGGGATTGTTGATAGTTTAGAATGTGGTGCATTCTATTTTGGATATGAAGACTTAATTATTGGTAAATAGACTTAATTTTTTTATTAATTTGATTCATATTCTTAATAATTATGTTTGAATAGAAATAATTATTATATAATAACATGGTTATAATTATTTAAATATAAATAGATGATTGTTCATATAAGTCATGATTATACAAATTGTTATAACCATTTAAATAAAAATTTATGTCATTTGAATAGAAATTTATATCTGTTCATTTATTATAAATAAATATTTCAGTATAACTAATTTCACTAATTTTGCTTAAAGGGTTTTGAGATTTTATTGTATTCTAAAAGTATAATTACTTCTAAAAAAATATTTTTCACACTTCAAAATCAAAATTTTAAACAATGTATATATTTCCATTTTTTATTTTTTACCAAAATTTGCTTAAAATTGGAGGCCAAATATATGTTTATCTATATTTATAAAAAAAATTATAAAACCTTAATATAAAAGCTTTGACTAGATCAGTTGGGGCGCTAATTGAAAAATTATATAATTAATTTATAAAATAAAAATATATCAATAATTTTATGTTGGTAACTGAGTTTTTTTAAATAGTTATAAATATGTCTTATTAAATAATCTCTCTATTCTTTATAACATTATACATGCTATTATTTTAATTACTTTTATATGTAAAATTGATTAAACTTTTTATTTTTTATTTTAAAATATTTACTTATTATTTATTTCACATACGTAATGAGTTTGTATATGATTAATTGTAAAATAGTCTTTGACAAAAAAAAGTTAATACTTAAAAGTGAAATGAACCGACCTAACGATGGATTTGCAAAGGCAACAAATTACATATAAAGGGTAGCTTTGTCATTACACAAAGGATAGAGCCGTGTTTGGTGTGCGAAAGGAAACTGGCGCAGGCACCGTGATTCTTCCCACCGCAAACAAACGAGAAAAACCAACAAGATAAGAGGGTTCTCACCAAAGAGAAATAAAAGAAAATAAAAAGAGAGTGTTTTCTTTCCCTTTACTATGCACTTCACAGCGCGAACAGATTTTTTTTTTTTTCGCCTTAAAAAAAAAAACAGGGCCTCGTTTTTAAACTATAAAAGGAAAAAAAAAAGAATTAACCGTTGTGAAAAAATCAATTCCCGCCATGGTGGCTCAGCTAGAGTACCAACAGCAGCAGGAGGAAACTTGTTTAGACAATTTACAGAAGGCAAAGTCTTTGATCTGTGCCCTTAACTTTGTCTCTAGAAACCTTCCTCTCCCTCCTGACTTATTCGAAGTCGTTTCCGCTATTTGTTATGATGAACAAGATGTGCTTCCAGAGGCCATTGATGATGGGACCCAGGTTGAGGCAGGATCTGATGTGGCTGGAGTTGCCCACATGGGTTCGGTGAGTATTTTTGGAAGTTACCTTTTGATTTTTAGCCTTTTTTTTTTATTGCCTTGGCATTTATTGTGAATTTGATGGTTTTTTAGTTTGTTTTGTGTGGAATTGTCTGAATTTTTTTTTTTGCGTGAATTTGTGTTCTTTTATGGTGTTTTTAAGATAGCCTTTTTTTGGTTTTGTTTGGTTTGTGAGAAATTATTATGAATTTTGAGTTTTTCTGTGAAATTTGTGCCTTTTTCTGTGATTTTTTTTTTTGTTTCTTTTTGTGTTGTTTCTTAGATAGCCTTTTGTTGGTTTGGTCTGTTTTGTTTAGATTTGTTTTGCTTTTTCTTTTAATTTTCTTATATACTCTCCTATTAGTTTGATTCTGTTGTGTGAGGAATTGCTGTGAATTTATGGCACTTTCTTTTAATCTTGAAATGGCATCTTTGTTTCACCTTTCTAAGTCAATATTATTTTGTGTTTTTTAAGGAGATATAATGAGTTTAGGTTTTGAATTGGATTCTGTTATAACTTTTGGATTTGGGTTTGGTATAGGGAGTAATAAATACCCTATTCTTCTCTTCTATTTTGCTGTTGAAATTTTTCAAGTTTTCTAGGAAAGGAGTTGGGTGATTCTGTTTCTGTATTTTTGGCTCTTATGTTTTACTTGATCTTCATTTTTGAACTTGTATTTCAGTTTTGTAAACCAACAACCCCGCGCCATCCTCTTTTTTTTTCCCGAACTGACTGAACTTGATTTTTATAGATAATTTTTAGGTGTTTTAGACAGGCAGTGCTGCCCTTTTTACAATAAAATTTATGTGTCAAAAGTTGGGCTCTCATTGCAGTGAGCATTTGGAATTAAAATTATTGCAGTACTTCTAGATTGTAGCACCACCATATAATAATTTTTCACTTCTTGTTTCTTAGAAGGTTGATTTAAAATTTATCTGGCAGGATGATTATTCTAATTCCAAGGAGGATGATTTATTGCATGACCTTGATGATGCTCTACCAAAACAACGATCAAAATGCATGTCTCGTTTTGAATTGGCAGAATCAATGGAAAACCGTTTCCAGAGTCACATTCATCATCGGTTGAATGAACTTGAAGGTTATTATTTTATCTTTACAATTATTTCATAGTTATTTGCACATAGTCATCATTCATTGATTAAAAATCTTCAGTGTTTGGATGGGGGCATCTAACTTTCTATTACTATTAGTGACATCTGTGAGTTTTAAGTGTAGCAACATTCAATTCAAGTTGTAGTTTAGACAACCGTTTTAGAAGGATTACTTATGCATTTATGTTTTGAATCAGATTTGCCTTCAAGCAGAGGAGAGGACCTGCAGACAAAGTGCTTACTTGAATTCTATGGATTAAAGGTAAACTAATGTGCTAAAGTTGCTGATACACACATACACCCATATTTCTCAAGTGCTATGTGAACTCCATAGTAAAACAGAAAACACAATCATCTGTTCTACTGGTTGAGCTGCTGTTGATTGCACTGCCATGAAGTTATTTATCCCCCTATAGACTTTTTGGATATGGAATCAATTTGCTTTTACAAACTTGCTTTCTGGCGTTACTTTTCTGTTAAAACTTCAAAGTCCTGTAAAGTATGACCAAATGCAGCCTATGTAATGTGCAAGAGCAATATACTTCTTCTTGCCATGCAGCTGAAATTCTTAGATTGATGATGATGAATAAGTTTCTATCTCCTGCTTTATCTTGGTATTGGTGGATGACATGGGTTATGTCCTTGTCACCAAGAACCTTTTTCCTGGCAGCTAGCAGAGTTGCAAAGCAATACACGTTCTTATCTAAGTTCTGAGTATTGGCTCCATGTCAACTGTGCATATCCTGACAAGCAATTGTTTGATTGGGGGATGACTCGATTGCCTTTTCCTTCATATGGCATTTTTGTTCCATTCACTATGGAAACTGATGATCAAGTGCGAAAGCAACGGGATTATGAGGTTATTTGCTTTATCTATTAGTCATTTTAATTTAGTCTTTCTTGATAACAGAAATCAATGGTTTCCATTTAATATTTTACCTACCAAACCCTTTTCCTTAGAGATCTTATGTTTATAGGATGTTAGTAAAACTCTACTTCAACTGTCAAAAGTTCCTCTTTAACTTGGGCATGAGACAGGCTATGTAAATTACATAGCAATTAACACGTGCACAGTTTTTCTATAGGAAATGAGAAAGGATACAAATGCTAAGAGTGTTCACTGGGTCGATTTTTGGTATGGTTGAATCACAGAAAGCCCTTCTATGAGTTATTCCAACCTTTATATTAGGGGAAGCAGAGATGATAGATAACTCTTGTAGAATACAAAATCATTATATGCTCTATCAAAAAGAAAAAAAAAAAAAACATATTAATGTGTCAAAAGGAGAATGAAATTTCTTATACACTGCTGATGAAGCTTTTCTTTTTTTTTTTTTTTTGTGTGCAGAGGTTATCACGATTGAGAGATGAGGAAAGGAACCATTTGGAGAATAGAAAGAGGAAGTTTTTTTCAGAAATAGTTAATGCATTCCGTGACTTTCAATTTCAAATTCAAGCTACTTTAAAGCGTCGAAAACAAAGGAATGACAGTGTTCAGGTATAATGCTTTCTCTGTGTGTTATACTTTTTTAGTGTTTTATTATTCATCTGGTAGAGATAGAGGGATGCTAAGTTGTGCTATACTTAGTTGAATCAGTAGCATACATGGGGAATTTTGTTGAAAATGTTTATCTTGAGCCAAATATTGATCAAACTAATTAGAGCCATTTACAGGGTGCATATAGATGTTAGACAGGTAATAGATAAAACTTCAGCTCTGATTTAAGCCTTTGACAAAGAATTGTGAGCTGAAGCACCGAATGGAGCGCCATCTATCCTTTTGATATCCATCTAAAACATGAATTAAACTCTTTGTACGAACACTCACTTGCATTCTAATTAAGTCATACTGTAATTAGTATAATTATGATATTGCAAGTACTTCAACAAAATTTTGTTTCAATTACTTTTCTGTAACTATTGTCATTGCATTGTCATATCTTATTATATGCAGAGTCTCCCTTACCCATCTCTCTTTTGTGAATGGTTTACTGCATGTCTTCAATCTAACATCATTCTCAGGTAAAACAAATGAAAATCTGAACACTTCTACAGTTAGTATGGGAATTCCAGTTTTATTCAAGCATTTTGAGTGTCTAGATGCTTCTTGAATATTGAAACATCCTCAGTTAATGTTACCTTGTGGTTTCTTCATGTGTCATGGAAACATACTTCCAGTCTGACCCAAATAGGAAAACATTTTGGTACTCTTGCAATTTGAATATGTATATGTTTGCTGTGCTTTTAGTTGAAACCACACTATGGTTACAGTATTTAGGTATTGAGTAGATTTTGGCAGAAGGACAAGCACTTATCTGATACGGAAGGAAAACTTCCAAGAAACAAGTTACCCAGTTAATCATCTTTTGTAATTCTAAACAATGATTTATAGTTCTTTTATTGGATTTACCATCAATTACAAGTAGCCATAGTTATCATAACATGTGGTATAAATTATAAAGAGCCTTATCAGTTTGGCATTTTAACAGGCATGGCATGGAAGGCAAAGACAACGTGCTACTAGAGCAGAGAAATTGAGGTTCCAGGCCCTGAAGGCTGATGATCAAGAAACATATATGAGATTAGTAAAGGAGAGCAAGAATGAACGATTAACTATGCTACTTGCAGAAACAAATAAGCTCCTTGTTAATTTGGGAGCAGCTGTTCAACGGCAGAAAGATGCTAAACATTCAGATGGCATTGAAGATTTGCAAGATTTAGATTCTGATTCACCTGAGTTGGATGCTCTGAAGGATGGAACTCCTCGAGATTCGCTTCCCGAAGAAGATATAGATGCCACTGATTCTGATCAGAATGATGAATCGAGTGATCTACTTGAAGGTCAGCGGCAGTACAACTCGGCTATTCACTTGATTCAGGAGAAGGTAAGATTATAAACAATATTATCTGTTTCTTTGTTTACTACTCTATTTTCATTTTTAATGTTTCATCCTGGACCATTGGGATTTTTTTGGCCAAATGATCATTGGGATTTGATTATCACAGAATTCTGCACTGTGAAAAGTTGGAATAATATTTATGTCTTATAGCTGCAAATTCATGGAGATAAAAGCAGCTTAAAATTTTTAGTTTGCTTTCTTTTAACTATTGGAAGATGATTTCCTTTGGCCACTTTCAATATGTTCATGCATTTTTGCAATCTCTTAGTCAGGGATTCCATCTTATTTAACATATGTAGATAATTCTTGGGTTCTTTAGTCATCATAATTTATGGCTAATTAATTGTATGGGAGTATACTATATTCAATAATATAACATAAAGGTTCAGGTGGATGCCTGTTAATTGTCAATCCTCTACCAATAGTCAATGTTACTTCCTGGTTTATCCACATAATTGCTTTCATATAGTCTCTTTGTAAGCATATTCTATTTGCATTGTAAACCATCCACGTTTGCAATATTAGTGATGTTTTAATCTCGGTTTAATTTTTTGGGAAGACGCTACTAATTTATGTTCTGTAAACAGGTAACAGAGCAACCATCCATGCTTCAAGGTGGAGAGTTAAGAACGTACCAGTTAGAAGGGCTTCAGTGGATGCTTTCTTTGTTCAATAACAACCTCAATGGAATTTTAGCTGATGAGATGGGGTTGGGAAAAACAATACAGACTATTTCATTAATTGCATATCTCATGGAGAACAAAGGTGTTACTGGGCCCCACTTGATAGTGGCTCCAAAAGCTGTACTACCAAATTGGATCAATGAATTCTCCACATGGGCTCCTAGGTACACAAATTAGTCCCTGAAAACAGCTCTCTTTTTCTCTCTCATGCATGTGTACATCCACACATGGATGCATTTGCTTTTGCACTTGAAATCTATAATTTGAAATTTCTTGTGCATTTTCTTCTTGTTCTAGCATATATGCAGTCCTTTATGATGGACGCTTGGATGAGAGGAAGGCTATGAGGGAAGAAATATCTAGAGATGGAAAATTTAATGTGTTGATCACACACTATGATCTTATTATGAGAGATAAAGCATTCTTGAAGAAGATACACTGGTACTACATGATTGTCGATGAAGGGCATCGATTAAAGAATCATGACTGTGCTCTTGTGCGAACCCTTGTCTCAGGGTATGATGATAAACTTTATGTTTATTCCTTCTGCCAGATTGCTATCATGTTTTATTGGGAGGTTATACATATCGACTTTTTTTCCTGCCATTGTGTGTTGGCATAGGTATTCTTGATCGTAATGACTTCTCTTCTACATTTTGCTTCACCTCTTAGAGATCAGGTTTAGTTTAGTTTATCACATAATAAAATTGATTAGGAAGAGACCTTACTAGCTTTCAGGTTTTTAAATTGCATACGACTTGTAGCAACTAGTGTGCTCTATACAGAAATATAACAGAAGAGACAAAATTAAGGATTGAAGCACTGAATTGCTTACATCTTTCATAATGATTGTTCTATTTTCTTCCTCCTTTCTTGTCTTATTTTCTCTTTTCAATCTACAATACCAACCAATCTGTTTCCTCCTTTGAAAGATCAGTGATTTCAATTTACATTTTGGATATCTTTTATTTATTTATTTATTTTTGTGGGCCACCAGAGGTGGGGAAGGGGTGGCAGGGCATTGGAGTGGGTGGCACAATCTATTAATTATTTAATGCAGTGTGTCCCTTTGGGTTGCCCAAAAAATCTATTCAATGCCAGATACAACTCGACGGATACTACTACTTTGAATACCTTTCATCTTTATAGTTTGTTTTGAAAACAACAAGGCAAAGGGTCAAAAAAGTCCTCGAACAAAAATTCGATAATCATTTAAGTGCCTGATTTTTTATTGCAATCAATCAAGTCTTGAATTATCTATTTCGGATCAGTTGAACCCTTTAATATCTATTTTCACCTAATTGAACCGTTAAACATCTATTTTCACCCTAATTATGCCCTCATTAGACAAAAATGGGTTTTGACAACCAATTATTTCTAATAAGGGCTTAATTGGTGAAAATATATGTTTAAGGGCTTAATTGATTGCAATATAATGGTAGGGGCTTGGATGATTATTGAATGTTTGTTTGGGGGTTTTTTTGACCCTTTAGCCAAACAACAATCGGTTTCTGGTTGCATTAAAATAAATTTCAAATATGAATTTAGTCTAGAATTTTACCCTTCTGCAACATATTTAAGGCTAAAGTATTTCACTACATTTGGTGCATTATAAGCTAATATTATTTCTTCCTTTTTCTTTTTTTTTTTCTGAAGAAAAAGATATATTATTTCTTAGTTAGGTATCATTATGAGTTTTTTTTGCTATTTCTGGAGAAGCAGGGTGTCATGTTGTATTTTAGATTAGGTCTGTGCAAGAAAATTGGAAAGTCTTTTCTAATTGAATTTTCACTGTGTGCAGCTATCAAATCCAGCGTAGACTTCTGTTAACAGGGACCCCAATACAAAATAGTTTACAAGAATTGTGGTCCCTCCTTAACTTTCTACTCCCAAACATTTTCAATTCAGTTCAGAATTTTGAGGAGTGGTTTAATGCCCCCTTTGCAGATCGCGGTGATGTTTCTCTTACAGATGAAGAACAACTCTTGATTATTCGCCGTCTGCATCATGTAGGTCTTCATCTGGTTTCAAAATTGTCTTATCTATCCATGGACTTCTTAATGTCTAATAAAATTCCTTGATTTTCAGGTTATAAGGCCATTCATCTTAAGGAGGAAAAAGGATGAGGTGGAGAAATACCTTCCTGGAAAATCCCAGGTTATACTCAAATGTGATCTGTCAGCGTGGCAGAAGGCATACTATCAGCAAATAACAGAAAAGGGCAGAGTTGGGCTAGACAATGGTTTGTAGATTCTACTTTCATGTGATCAGTTGGCTATTCTTGATGGTCTCTTGCTTAATCTATTTGTTGAAAAACTGCACATGCTGTCATTGAATCATATTGGTTAGGCTGGGATATTCCTGGTGCAGTTGTACCTTCTCAATGGGAGCTGAGTTGTAGCAGTATGCTCCTTATGGCTTATGCTGTGAACAGAGTTATACCTATCTTCTATAATATTTTCCATATTCATTTTATCCAATTTTACACTAGTTGATTTTAATCTTGGTCTTGTTCACATTTGATCTCATTTGAACTGCATTATATGGTTTCCCGCTCAGTGATAGGATTACCTTAGTGGAATAGGAAAGCAGAAATTGCAGCCAGTTGTTTAATAAGAAGTTTAAATTTTTGCAGGGTCAGGGAAATCAAAGAGTCTCCAAAACTTGACAATGCAATTGAGGAAGTGTTGTAACCATCCATACCTTTTTGTGCCTAACCACAATATGTGGCAGAGAGAGGAGATTGTTAGATCATCAGGGAAATTTGAGCTCCTTGATCGGTTACTCCCGAAACTTCACAGAACTGGTCACCGAATCTTGCTTTTCTCCCAAATGACTCATCTCATGAACATTCTTGAAATATATCTGAGGCTCAATAATTTCATGTATCTTAGACTTGATGGCTCAACAAAAACTGAGGAAAGAGGTGCTTTGCTGAAGAAGTTCAATGCTCCAGACTCTCCTTATTTTATGTTTCTATTAAGCACTCGTGCTGGAGGTCTTGGGCTGAACTTGCAGACTGCAGACTCTGTAATAATTTTTGATAGTGACTGGAACCCCCAAATGGACCAACAGGCAGAGGATCGGGCCCATCGTATAGGACAGAGGAAGGAAGTCAAGGTTTTTGTGCTGGTTAGTGTTGGATCAATTGAAGAGGTCATTTTGGGGCGTGCAAAGCAGAAAATGGGTATTGATGCCAAGGTCATCCAGGCTGGACTGTTTAATACAACTTCCACAGGTTTGTTGTGCTTGAATTAATTATTATGTGTCTACTGGATGCAACATAAAAATAAGTATGGCATGAGATGGAATAAGGAATATTTCCTCAGTTCTCTCATATTATATGGTAATCAGCAGTTGCAGGATGCGCAGAGTAATATATATATATATATATATATATATATATATATATCTATATCTGTATGTGTGTGTGTGTGTATGGTCTTGGTATGCATGGTTTTGTGTCTATGGTTATGTATATAGGTATGAGATGCAGTTAGTTACTCAAAGATTATAATTTATGGGACAGTAAAATGAGGAGAAAGTCAATCAAATTCTACCCTAACCTTTTCTTTTTCTTTTAAGGAGAGGGAAAGTTTAAATGACATTTGATACAATTTAATTATGTTTCACCATATTGTGGATTTCTTACCATCAGATCTTACTTCTTTGAATACTAGAGAAGCAATGCTCTCTCTCTCTCTGCTGTTGGCCCTTAACATCTATACCACTAACAATTACAATCTTTTCTCCCTCAATCATGTCTTAACTTTTATGATTTAGTGCATGGGCTTCGTTACTTTTTCTCTTTCCTGAAACTGAAAATGTGTTGTTGGATGTGTACATTTTTGCCATAGTATTGATAAGAGAACAGTAAGTGCTATTCTAACAATTATTTTTCCTATTCTTTTATTTGTTAAATATGTTTTTCATTCTCTGTGTGATATACATGAAGCATAAGAGTCCATTTGAGCTGGCCGGAGCTTCTTCCTGTCCAAGAAATTGTTCTTTTCATCTCAGCTGACAACAACACTACACTTTTAGTTCAACTTTTGACTGTATTCTTGTTTGAGTAAATTCAATACCATGCTAATGTTATCATCTTCACATATGCAGCTCGGGACAGAAAAGAAATGCTTGAAGAAATCATGCGTAGAGGAACAAGCTCACTTGGAACAGACGTGCCAAGTGAAAGAGAAATCAACCGACTTGCAGCTCGTTCAGATGAGGAGTTCCGGATATTTGAGAAAATGGACGAGGAAAGAAGACTAAAGGAGAACTACAAGTCTCGTCTCATGGTAGATCACGAGGTACCTGAGTGGGTATATGTACTTAATAATGATGAAGGGAAGGCCAAAGGTTTAGAAAACAACAACAATGTTGAATTAGGGAAGCGAAAAAGAAAGGGCGGGAACTATTATCCGGATACATTGAGTGACTTACAGTTTATGAGGGCTGTGGAAAATGCAGAAGACATGGCAAAAGAGTTATCAAGTAAAAGAAAGAGAAAATATCATCTTCCTTTTGAGGTCAATGAATCGGCTAGTATTGAATTTAGGAATGAGAATGTGCCAGCAGCAAGCGAGGGAACAAGTGAAGATACCTATGGTTCAGCTCCAAAGATACTCAAGTACGAAGGTGAAATGATTGAGAAACTTAAGTATCAAGATGTGAGAAAATCTGAAGATCATGGTGTTGGAGGAAGTTCATGGAACGAGCGAATAATTACATGGAATACTCATAAGAAGAAGAGATCAAGCTATGTCGTCCCAACTTCATCATCAGATTCTAGAGGGCATAATTATTCCAGTGGAAGAGGAAATGGATGGTTTTGATATAAATTTCCTGCTCGAGCAGCAGTGACTGATGGATGGTCCTGAACAATCTAGGCAGAGACTGATTTATCATGGAAATAGCTTTGCTAGTATTATGTATCTTCCATAAATTTATGAAAAGTTTTAATTGTGCCTCCAACAAAAATCTAGAAGTTATTATTTTGGTAATAAAAACAAATTTTATTCGATGGTAATGTCTTCTTTCCCCAATTAATAAATTTTATTGAAATCAAAATCATGAATTGAAGATTTAAAATCTCAATAAAAGATATAGAAATATGTAGTAAAATTCAAGTCCGACAAGTTGCAAATAGTTAGCGTAGTGTATTACTGAAACTGGAAGGCATACAGGTGGAGTTGGCCTGATGGTTTTGAAGAATTGGTATGTCTCTAATCAATGACGGTTACCATAATCAATTGCTCATCAAAGATTCTTGGAGGAGTCTTCGGTTTTATTGTCTAGTGGCTAAAAAGGCTTAAAAAGATATATAAGTAGGAGTTCGAATCTCACTATCTCCATCTCGTCACTTAATTTATAAACAAAAAAAAAAATTCGTTGTAGAAACAAAAATACGAAAAACTATAAGCAAAGAGAAACAATTAATGTTTTTTATAATATAAGTTTATTTTTCCTTCAAATGCTGTGATATTGTGTTTATTTTAAACGAAGGGAGTCAGATTTGATGGATGAAAGATTTATCTTATGAGTGTGCATCCTTTGCAATAATTTAAACAATAGCTTTTGATGAAATTCTCTTACAAAGCATGGCTCTCGATTGATCTTGCTTATCGAAAATGTAATTTCAACATTTAATTTTGCTTAAAGAGATGTGAGTTTGAGGGGTGTTTGGATTGTTTAAAAAAGGCTATAGCTTACGAAAGAAAGATTCATTTATATATTGTGTTACACTATTTATGTGGGATACAATAATTATATGAAATTTATATGATAGTTTTGGATATTTTATTTACTCACAATATTAACACTTTCCGTATATGTATACATTTTCGGTTATCATTATATCTATTAATGTTGTTGTAATTATTATTTATTTTGATATCTATAGTATATATAATTTGTTAGTCACTGAGTTGGCCTACTTAAAAAGTTTTCATATATGTCAAAGTAAATAAAATTCAATTACTCATGATTATGTGATGTTATAAATGAGATGACATGGTTGTGTGTGTGTGTATATATATATGAGTAAATTGAAATTTATTGATTATAAAATATTTAAGAATCGTTCAAAGGTAGATTGATTAATTTTATAATCATGGCATGATTTGTAGTTGATTAATATAATTTATTACATTTTTTTTTCATATCCAATAGCAAACATGTCTAATTGGATTATATATAATTGACAAATATGTTATTTTATTTTTTTTTGAGCATTTTGAGAGTTATTTGACTTGAGTTATGAGAGTACGAATGCTTTTTTCTTCGATTTTTTTTTTGAAAAAAAAAAGACGGGTTTAAATGTCTAATTGATTTGCCGGGTTTATGGATCTTTTTGACATTCTAATTACATACATTATAATTCCATACATAGACATAACTTTTAATCTTTTTTTTTTTTTTTTCTCGAGCCGTACGAGGAGAAAACTTCTTATACGTTTCTAGGGGGGGGGTATTATTTAACTACATCTATCCCAATGAGCCGTTTATCGAATCGTTGCAATTGATGTTCGATCCCGAAGAGAGGGAAGAGATCTTCGAAAAGTTGGTTTTTATGATCCGATAAATAATCAAACCCATTTGAATGTTCCCGCTATTCTCTATTTCCTTGAAAAAGGAGCTCAACCCACAGGAACTGTCCATGATATTTTAAAGAAGGCCGGGGTTTTTACGGAACTTAGTCTTAATCAAACAAAATTCAATTAATGAAATACAAAAAAGAGGGGGTGGATGACTCATATCTAGCTTTGTATAAATTTTTCTTTATAATTTCCTCCCCCCTCTTTTGTTTTATTCATACTTTTTTTATTTCTTTAAACATGATCATTTTATTGGTTTTATTGTTTTTTTTTTAATAATTTATACAAATTAAAGTTTGATAATTTTTTTATTGAAACCTTTTAAATCTTGCATCATAATGTTAGTACTAAATGTGGTTTAGTGGATGAAAGTTTAGCTTATTGTGACAAACTTTTGGGTCACATATCCAAAGAAAGAATATAAAGATTGATAAAGGAAGAAATCCTTCCTAATTCAAGATATTATAATCTTAGTAATTGTATCGATTGTATTAAAGGAAGATACGCAAAACATCCAATTAAGAAAAGCAGCCATTGTCATAATGTCTAGGTCTGGCAACCCGACCTTTTAAATGAAATTTTAAAAATCAAAATAGGGAGTCACCACTATTTTTTTTTTTTGTAAGTATAATTGACTACCTAAAAAATTTATCTTTTTAAAAACCCCTAAAACTGGTTTAAAGTTTATCAAAAAGACAAATTTGATCTTTAAAATCAAAGATGAGTTTCGGAGTTCAATTACACGAGAGAAAAGATTAGCACTCTTACAGCATTTATTTAAAAACCTATACCAATTAATTATATGTTATCTTTGGTTTTTGAGAAAAATGATCTTAACTTTAATATTTTAATTAATTCCTTGAATTTCATTTATTTTCACAAAATCTCATTTTTTAATTCCTTGAAAATACAAGCTATTTTATTTTAGATTAAAATGGAAACCTTTGGTATCTAAACATTGTTTAAACTCCTATATATTTAGGCAAAATTTTGAAAAAATTCTTTACTTTGGGAATTCCATGATGATCTATCAAAAACAAAGATAATGATCTTCATAAAGATATTGTTGAGAATTCATTCTATATCTATGCAAGATCTCAAGAATTATCTTTATTTGGAATATTATCTTATTTTATTTCTAAAACATTTCTTTTTTGGAACCATCATTTAGAAATTCATGTGAATGCAACAAAATGTAAATGCCAAATATAAATGCATGAATATAATTAAAGATGACATATAAATGAAAATTTAGAATGCTAATGCATGTAACAAATTACTAAAAAAAAGGCAAATGCATGGGAATGTGGTTTGAATTAAGTTTAGGTTGGATTTTAGGGTTCGGAAAGGGTTTGTTTTGGAGTTTTGAATAAGTTTCAGGTTTGGTTTAAGGTTTAGGGTTAGGTTTTATGGTTTCGATTTAGAGTTTAGGTCTAAGGTTACGGTTAGGTTATGGTTTAAGGTTGGGTAAGGCTTTTCAGTTTAGGATTAGGGTTAGGGTTAAAGTTTTAAGGTTTAGCTATGCATGACAATTTAAACATGATACCAAACTAATTACATAAGATTGCTTAACTATGATGCATGAAATTAAACTAATTTGATTGAAATGATATGAACAAATTATCAAACACTTAACAAATATTAAAACTAAGCAAATGATGACCAAGAAGGAAAAGAAGAGTTCAACCAAGGCAATAAGCAATGCCAAGACCAAAACCTTAGGTCATGTTGGTGAGCATTATATTGTAATTTCATCAAACACTTGAGAAACTCATGAAAACTTGCATTTTTATTTTATCCAACACAAGAACACTAACTTTAAAATTTTATTTAAACACCTATGAAGCATTCTAAGCATTGAAAATCAAATTCAAAAACAAAAACGGCATGATTTATCAATAAAAAATGTGGCTTCAGTGTGTGAAAGAGGTTTCAGCTTGACTATAAAGAAGGCTTGGCCAAAACCACATTAGGCGTTTCCTTGTGAAAAGTGAAAAGACACTATTATAGTGAAAAGTGTCACATAATTCAAGAAAGTTAAAAATGCAGAAATTTGTATCATTGCTTGGTAACCTTTCAAACTGCACAAAAGTTTGGACCATTTATACGATTAAAGGCTTGAAAGTTGTTGGCTTGGATAGCTGGCCTTCTAATAGATGGTTGAAAACCATATGTATTGGGAACTGCATAGTTCCTTAATGTTCTTTGCCTTCATTGTTTGCATTAGCCATTGGAAATGGTGCAACTGGTGTTGATTGCTTTTTTTTTTTTCTTCGAAAGGTTCTTTCAATTTCTTGATCAATATGAGTAAAGTCAACATTTTAAAATCTACTCATGCAAACAAAGAAAGATAAAAAAAAAGTAAATAAATAAAAGAAAAGGTTTAGATTATAAGAGTTTAAAAATTCTTTATTAATATTACGAACACCTTTATAATCCCGGGCAATGATGCCAAAAACTTGATTGCTGCTATTTGTATAGCCTGCAAGTACATAAATCAAGTATCATCTTCTTAAAATCGAATCTTAAGTGCATGAGGCATATTCATTATTTCTCTTCATTCTTAAAAAAAAAAAAAAAAAAAAAAACAAAACAAAAAAACTCCAATAAAAACATTAAAATATACTTATCATAGTAAAAGAAAAATTAGGAAAACAATAATCATAACCATTAAAATAGAATTTGAGTTGCCTCTTAAACAACACTAGTTTTGGTCGAACTTGACCATCTTCAAATCTATAAAAATCATTTTACGACTTTGGAGAGAGTTTACCTTGTTACCTCTTTCTTTATGGAATGACATAAATAGACTTACCTTAAGAGGTGTACTAGTTCTTGTAGTAGGGATCACATACACAGAGTTTGAATTCCTTATAAGGTTGACATGGCTAGAGCTAAGGGTTGTTAAATGTTCAAAGGGTTAAAAGGTGTATCTATTAGGTTAGACTTTTTAAAGGTTTCTTTCACCTTGATTGCAGTAATATCTTTTCCATCTCTAAGCATACCTTACCCTTTATATACAAAATGCGACTTTTTGTTTTTAAGTCTAAAGGTAAGGGTAGCATCATAAACATCTATTAGGGCCTTAGTAGTAGATAGGAAATGTTTTCCTAATAGTAATAGAGTCATTATCATTCTCCATATCTAAGATAGTAAAATCCATAAGGAAAGCATATTTACTCACTTTGACTAGTACACATTTCAACATTTTTTATGGTAAATTAGCAGATAGATCAACAAGTTTAATGCTGGATTAGGCAAGCTTCAGCTCTCCACAACCTAGCTGCACAAAAATATTTATAGGCATTAATTTAAACTAGAACCAAGATCATAAGAGCATAAAAAGATTTTCAATTTTTAATTTTGTAAGGTATAATAAAACTCCCTGGACTTTAGTGCTTTTTAGGTACGAGTTGTTGAAGTTTAGGGCTACAATCTTCCTAGAATGTGGCTTCCTTTAGTTCCTTGAGCAGCACCTTTAGAATAGGCCTTGGGGAAGGATGTACTATGTTAAAACATTGCCTATACAGTCTAGTAATCATCCTTGGCCTTGGTTGAACTTTCTCTTCTTCTTATGGATCTTTTTCTTAAATAGCCTATTCTTGATCATTTTGAACTATTTCACCTTGAACTATGTCTTCAAGTTCAAGCTAAATGCTCCCTAGTAATGCTCTTTCTACTTGCAGTAGCATTTACCCTTCCTCAATAGACCCTTCGATGTACTTTTTTTTATCTTCTTCATAATTTATCTCAACATTCTTCTCATCGGGATATTTCTCATAGGTCTTAATGTCTTTAGAGGCTTCTAATGCCACTGTCATAACGTCTAGATCCGGAGATCTATCGCTAGACATTGACTTAAGGGAGTCGCCACCAATCTTTTTTATCTAGGTGCGATTGGCCACCTAAAGAATCTATCTTTTCAGGGAACACCTAAGTCTAAGGGTCCCTAAAAGAATAGGTTCAGGTCTACTAACCAGAACAAGGTTCGGGAGTTCGGTTACGTGTGAGGAAGGTTATAGCACCCTCACAATGCCTATCAAAAGATGGTACCAGCTAAAATTTATGTTATCCAAAAGTCTTAAAATTTTATCAAGTAATTAACTATTAGAAATTATTCTCAATTGACTCTAATACTTTTAGCAGAAAATTGAAAAAATTCCTTCACCTCAAGAGTATGCAAGAAAAAAACTACTGTTTCACTTGCAGAGGCTCCGTCGTCGGATTAGTTAAAGAAAACTCAAAATCAAAATCAAAATAGAAAGGAAAGAGAGAATGATTGTTCTTGTGTAGGAAAAATTGATACTTTCAACTTTTTCCCAAAAATATTTTTTGGAAATTTATTTTTAAGAAAAATTGATACTTTCAACTTTTCCCTAAAAATATTTTTTTTGAAAATTTATTTTTAAGGAAAATTGATACTTTCAACTTTTCCTCAAAAATATTTTTTTTGAAACTTTGATTTCCAAGGAAAATTGATACTTTCAACTTTTCCTCAAAAATCCCTTTTTTGAAAATTTATTTCTAAGTAAAATTGATACTTTCAACTTTTCCTCAAAAATAATTTTTTGAAACTTTGATTTCCAAGGAAAATTGATACTTTTAACTTTTCCTCAAAAATCCTTTTTTGAAAATTTATTTTTAACAAAAATTGATACTTTTAATTTTCCCTAAAAATATTCTTTTTTGGAAATTTTGATTTTCAAGGAAAATTGATACTTTCAACTTTTCCCTAAAAATATTTTTTAGAAATTTTGATTTTCAAGGAAAATTGATACTTTCAACTTTTCCTCAAAAACCCTTTTTTTGAAATTTATTTTTAAGAAAAATTGATACTTTCAACTTTTTCCTAAAAATATTTTTTTGAAAATTTTGATTTTCAAGGAAAATTGATATTTTCAACTCTTCCCTAAAAATATTTTTTGGAAACTTTGATTTTCATTTAAAGAAAATAGAATAATAAAAAAATAAATCAAAATAAAAAAAATGAAGAAAAGTAAAACAAAAATAAAAATAAAATTAAGATAAAAAGAATATTAAATAAACCTAATCTAATAAATAAAAAAAATAAAAAAAATAAATGAAAATAAAAAATATTAAAAAAAAAACACCTGGAGAGGCTCGGATTGCGGTTTGGCTCGGCTCGGCTCAAGGAAAAGAAAATGGCTCAGAGAAGCGGCTTTGGAGCTCGGCTCGGCTCGACTCGGCTTGGAAAGGGCAGACACGCGCGGGTCAGGAAGCGGGTTTACGCTTGGGTCGGGTCGGATCTCGGTAAAACGCGCGGATCCTCTAGGTTACTTAGGGCCAAAACGACGTCGTTTTGAGAGGGTATAAAAGGTACTTCCCTCTGTTTTTTGGCAGAACGCTCTTCTTTTCTCTCTTTCTTTTTCTTTTTTCCTCTCCCTTCTCTCTAAAAGGCTGAAGAACTCTGGTGAATTTTTGTCGGATTCTGGAAAATATCATCGAAATCTGGAAAAGTTCACCGAAAGTTCAACGGAAGTTGGTCGGATGATCATCGGTTTCTGGGATTCTTTGCCAAAAACTGGGCAGGTCGTCGAAAACTTCAAGGTTGGTCGGAATTTTCATCGAAAAATTTAAACTTCGTCAGAAAATTCACCGGAATCTGGAATTTCCAGAAATTCCCAAAAAAAAAAATCGCCAAAAAAGCTTCAAAAAATTTCTTCTCACTCCTAGAACACTCCTAAATCTTTTCTTAGCTCTCTATACGCCCATATTTTCTCAATCAGTAGCTTTTGCTTACTGTTTTCTTTGTGTTCAGTATCTGTTCCAGGAGGTTCCTTTTTATAGGGATTGATCAAGAGTTCCTGATCAATCTCAATTCCTCCTTGGACGGGGATTCAATCTTTGAATCCAATCTGGACTCTCTTGATTGAATTCCCCTTCACAGTGGGATTCTTCAACTTTCAATCCCAGCCCTCTAAAATCAAATAAATAAAAAAAATAGATAATTAGAAAAGATAGGATAAATAAAAATAAAAAAAAAATAATAATATCAGATATACAAAAAACAGATAAACGGAACAAGAGAGAAAAAAATTATTAACAGATAATACAATAAGATAAATCAAAAAAAAATATTACAAGAAAAAAAATAATAAAAAATAATAATAAATAAATAAATTATAATATAAATATAGAACTATATAAATAAAATACATATAAATATTAACAAAGGAAAAATAAATAAATAAATAAATAAGTAAAAATATACATATAATAATAATAAATAATAAAATACAAAAGAAAAGAAAAGAAAAAAAAAGAAAGAAATAATACAAAGTAAAAAATTGCATTGGGCTTACCCATTTAGGTCAGGCCCAATTGATCTGGGCCAGGACCCAATTGGGTGTCTACAGCCACAGGGTCAAAACCCTCTAGAATTTCTCTCTCAAATCTCAAAAGTTCTTCATCTTTCAATATATATTCCTTTATTATGAAATCTAGTTCAAGTTATCTTATAAACTTGAGAGGTTTACTATTATAAGTTCATTATCCTCCTCATCAAAATCATTCATCCTAACATATCCTAATGAATAAATTGTATTATATTTTTTCCTACATTATTTTTTTCAGATTGGTTTCAGTATTGGTAGGCAAGGTACTTACAAGGTGATTTGTTATGGCTTAGGTGAGTTAACCTATTTGGTTTTCTAGGTCTTTTATAGATGCAACTCAACTTTGGATATTGGTATTGTTAGCTTACATCAGTTAAGAGAACATGTCTTCAAAGGTGGGTTTATTTTCTTAGGGTAAGTTATAGGTTTATGGATTTGGGTGGTAGTTCTTATTTTGGTTGTTGGTGGATTGGTGGTTTGGTTGGCTCTAATAAAAGATTGGGTGGTTTTGTCATCCAAGATTATAGGTATTGTTATAAGAATTGTTGTTTCATTTGGCTTGTTGGAGGTACTAGACTAGTTCTACTCTAAATTGACATCTTTCTGAGGAATGAGATCTTTCATAGATATAATAGAAAATAAAAAGGGCTTTATATAGTATTCACAAGGTTGGCTTGGGGTTGGCTTTCTAATACTTCAATTTTTTTACTAAAGGCAGCTAATTGGGAATTGATAGAAATAATAGCATTAACCTCAAATAAACTAGTAGACATACTAAACTTTATTTTCATGCCCCACTAGTAATTGTTAGCAACCACTCTTTAATAAGCTTATTAGCTTTCTCATGAGTCTTGCTCATTGTTGCCCCTCCAGCAGCTAAATCTAAAGTGATTCTCATAAGTGGTGTGAGACCATTGTAAAAGATCTAGATTTGGATCCATTAGGCTAAACAATGGTATAGGCATTTTTTTAGCAGCTTCTTGAATCTTTCCCATCCATCATATAATGTTTCACCATCAACTTGTAGAAAAGTGGTGATCTCATTCCTTAGCTAGGCTATTTTTACTAGTGGTAAAAACTTTGCTATAAACTTTTAGACTAAGTCATCCCAAGTTATGATTGAATCAAGTGGTAGAGAAGACAACCAACTTTTCACCTTGTCCGTGAGAGAAAAAAGAACTAATCTTAGTCTAATTGCTTCATCAAAAACATCATTATAGTGAAAAATGTCACATAATTTATGAAAGTTAGAAATGTGGAGATTTGGATCATCTCTTGGTAACCCTCCAAATTACATAAAAGTTTGGACCATTTGTATGACTAAAAGCTTGATTTCAAAGTTGTTGGCTTGGATAGTTGGCCTTATAATAGATGGTTGTAAACCATCTACATTGGGAACTGCATAGTCCCTTAATGTTATTTGCCCCTCATTGTTTGCATTAGCCATTGGAGTTGGTGTAAGTGGTGTTGATTGTTCTTTTCTATTTTTTCTAAAGATGCATTCAATTTCCTGATTAATAAGAGCTAAGTCAACAATTTTAAATCTATGCATGAAAATAGGAAAATAGTAAAGAAAAGCAAAGAAAAGTAAATAAATAAAAGAAAATATTTAGATTATAAGAGTTGAAAATTTTTTTATTGATATTATGAACACAATTATAATCCCCAACAATGACACCAAAAACTTGATTGCTATTTTTCATGTATCCTATAAGTGCACAGATCAAATAACAAAATGATGTATTCTAGTCTTATCTCTTCAAGGATTGTAGAATGTATTTTTGGGTTGCTCACAAATAACCAAAGAGGAAACTCTAAGATTTTATATCTAAACAAATCAAAATTTAAGGTTTGGTTACAGGGAAAGTAAAGATTAAAGGCGATGTGTAGGCAAGGATCTTGACTTTACTAACAACCACTTAAGAAGTAAAAGAATATTATCAAAAACTATATCTAAGAAAACAGTAATTGAAAGCTTGAAAAATAAAGAAAGTTGAGAGGGTCGAATGCTTGAAGTAGACTTAGAATAAAGATTGCATAAAAATAACTTAAAGAACAATTAAGAAAATGTTGGCAAAATTTTGCAAGAAATAAAAGAGAACTTGGATTGATCTTGAAAATAAAAATAATGCTTTGCCGAATATAAAGAAAAACAACAAGATTTGTAAACTTGAAAATAAGAAAAGAGAGATCTTGAAAACAATACTTATTAAATTAAAAGAATTCAAAGAAATAAAAGATTTTGTGGTTATTGACAAATCTATCACCTAAGCTAATAACTTACCTAAAGAATTAAAGAATTAAAAGAAGAGAACTAAAGAAAAAAGTGAAAAGTGAATGGGATGATGAAAATGGGTTAATGGCTTGCCTATTTACAATAAAAGGTTTAGCCACAAAGGGATAGGATTACAAGAAATTGTTTCTAATTTAAATACAAATGGATAAAGCCTAATGTTGATCTCCAAAGCTTTATGGCCGAATGAGACTCTTCATGGTGAAATGTTCTTGGTCGAATGGTCTCTTGACAATGCAATATTTGTCTTTGCTTAAATCTTGATTAAATCTTGAATAATCTCCTCCCCTGGATTTGGCTAAGGCTTAGAATTTCAAGAACAAGTTGATTTTTATCCAAGTCTTGAAATTCAAATGGATAAAATCCTGTTCTAAGTTTAAATCTTCAAGGCTAAGCAACAACTTCATGGTGAATTTAAATTCCTCTTAGCCAAATGTATCTAGCCTTCATTATGAAAAAATTGCATGATAACTCTCTTAGATAATCTTGGCCAAATAGGTTGGTGCTTGTAGAGTCCATGATCTTACAAATTGATCCTCCCTTTTGCATGGCCAAATGAATAGAGTCCTTGTGCAACATATTTGCTTCATTGCTAAGTGAAGGAGTCATGCTTGGATCAAACTTTTTTCTTAGACAAACATGATACAGTCCAAGTGAGATTTTAATTGCATGCAATTCTTTTTGCATGTGGCTGAATACATCATATAAGAGTTCTTATGTAAATGAAACTCTATGGTTACATGATGTGGATCAAGGTGCAATGGCATTGAGCTTTCAAAATTGGCCCAATATTTTTCTTTTACATGCTCGCTTGCATGGCTTGCATGAAAATGAAGTTTTTGAGCTTGAAAACCTAAAACCATGAAAATAACATGAAATACACTAAAAGTCATCCAAATTTTAAAATTTAGCACCATTTTGATGTGTAAAAGCTCTACATATTTAGGTGCTATCATGGACCAACACTATTTGTATATTACTACTACATATTATGACAGCTTAAAAACCATCAATATAGGTCTATACCAGTAAGGTTTTTACTGATGGATAAAAGTTCATCTGAATACACATTTTAACTATTGGTATAGGATTTATTGCATTATACTTACAATTTTTTTATCGACAATATTTTGAGTGTCATTATATGACAGTTTCTTGTAGTGGATGTCCTTTTGATTTATTATGTCGAATAATGATAATGAATGTCTCGAAACCTAAATTTACACCCACACCCAAAATGCAACCTCATTTCAACCATGTTTCTAGGAATGCCCTTAAAGCCTTTTTTTTTTTTTTTTGTACTTTTGTAATGTTGTTGGAGTCAAAATATGATTTTTGAGTCTTCAAATCAAAATTTTATTAATTCTAAGCCTTAATAGTCCCAATCAATACAATGTCTGAGAGTTGACTTAAGTTTGACCCAAGTTTAATCAAAGGATATTTTGGTTTGAAATTCAAGTTTTGATCATATTTAGAGCTTTTCCTTTAACTTTCCCCAAAATCCTTTAGTTTGACTAAGTTTTACCAAATTAACCTGAGTTTGACCAACTTTGATCAAAATTGATCTAGAAGTATTTTGGTTAAAAACATAAGTTTTGATCAAATCTGAGGTTTTGCAATTAAGTTCTTTCAAAATCTCATGGTTTGGCTAAGTTTGATCAAATTGACTTGGATTTAACCAAATTTAATCAAAAGTGGCTTGGGTTTGACTCTTTCAAACCTAATTTGACCAAAAAATTGACTAGAGGTTTTCTAAAGTCTTTTCATATTCATTAATCATCTTTCTTGGTCTCAACAATTTCAAAACTTTCCCTTTGATTTTTTTGTCTTAAAAATGTGAATTTGACCAAATTTGACTAAGTTGACTTTTAACTTTACTTTAACTTTCACAATATTTTTATTGTTAAGCCCAAAATCCACTTATTCAAAAAACTCATAATACTTGTAACACATAACTTCTTAAAAAAGACCCGAGCTTGATTTTAAAGTATCAAAATTGACTAGGACATGCTTGGACAAAATTATGTGTTTACAGTCATAAGAAGCTCATAACTCTTTAAGATTATACACACTAATATATGTGCACCTTTTAATGTTTCATCTTTTGGTGAAAAAGGATTATTTTATCATATTTATTATGATTTTTGACATGAAGGATATGTCTACTTGTTGCATGAAAAATGTCAATCAGTTACATCTTAGAGATATTTATTAATGAGGTTGAAAAAGAATAAGACAATAAGGTGAAAAATGTCAGACTAATAGAGGTGGTGAATATTATGAAAGATATGATGAAAATAGACAATGTCCATTTGCTAAATTCCTTGAAAAGCATGGCATACGTGTGCAATACACAATACCAATTACACGTAATAAAATGGTATTGCAAAAACTTGTAACCATACTTTAATGGATATAGTTAAGAGTATGTTAAGTAATTCTACTTTATCCTTTTATCTTTGTGGATGCATGCTTTGAAAACCGTCATGCATTTGTTAAATAAGGTTCCTAGTAAGGCAATTTCAAAGACTCTTTTTGAATTATAGACAAAAAAGAAACCAAGTTTAAGGCACTTGCATGTTTGCAATTGCCCAAAATAAGTAAGAGTTTATAATCCACATGAGAAAAAACTAAGGTTAAGAACAACCAGTGGTTTTTTCATTGGTTATCCAAAAATATCTAAAGGGTATAGATTTTACTATCCTAACTATAGTATAAGAATTATTGAAACTAAAAAAGCTAGGTTTATTGAAAATAGTGAAATTAATAAGAGCGTAGAACCACATAAAGTGAAATTTCAAGAAGTTAGGCACAAACTCCTTTATCTATAACTTCTTCTCAAATTGTTGTTCTTATAATTGTTGAACAATTTAATAATTACAAGAACAACAAATAAATGACCAAGCACCCTCTAATGAAATTTTTGCCAATAAACCTACAGTGGATGAACCATATGAAATAGCATTATGATGGTCTCAAAGTGAATAAACCATATGAAATAACATTATGATGGTCTCAAAGGCAAAAGAGATTTGCTATTTCTAATGAATATATGGTTTATTTACAAGAATTAGAATTTGACATAGAAATTGGTAAAAACCCAGTTTAGTTTTCATGAGCTATAAAAAATACTAACTCTACTAAATAATTAGATGCTTTGAAAGAAGATTGAAACCAATGGATCATAATAATGTCTAAGATCTTGTTGAATTATCTCAAAGTTGTCAAAAAGTTAAATGTAAATGTGTCTTTAAGACCAAACATGACTCTAATGGCAATGTTGAATGATACAAGACTACACTTGTTGCCAATGGTTTTACTTAAAAAAATGGCATGACTATAAAGAGAACTTTTCTCCAGTTTCGAAAAAGAACTCATTTAGAATTATTATGGCAATAGTTGCCATTATGGCCTAAAGCTACATCAAATGGATAAGAAAATTATTTTTTTAATAGGAATTTAGATGAAGAAGTTTGTATGGAACAACTTGAGGGTTTTTCAAATAAAAGAAAGGAATAGTGTGTAAACTTAGGAAGTCAATATATGGACTTAAACACGTTTTCTGACAATATCATTTCCTTTGGAGTTAAGAAAAACACCATTAGTCAGTGTATATATCTGAATGCCAGTGAGAGTTAGTTTATATTTTTTATTTGTATGTTAGTGACATTTTGCTTGCTATAATAATATGGGCTTATTATATAAGACCAAGAAATTTCTCTTTGAGAATTTTGAAATGAAAAATATGGGTGAGACATCCTACATGATTGAAATTGAAATATTCTATAAAAGATCAAAGTGATTGTTCAGGTTATCTCATTAAACATATACTAACAGAGTTTAGAGAGATTTACAATGAAAAAGTGCTTTGCAAATGTTGGTCTAATCTGAAAGAAAAGTATTGAGATACTTGCAATAAACAAAATATTACATGCTCTCTTATAAAGTATTCAAATTTAGATTTTGTTAGGTGTGTGGATACCAAAAAATTTATATTTGGCTATTTGTTTCTTTTTGCTAGTGGAGTGATCTCCTAAAAATGTGTGAAACAGTCTTCCATTACTGTATCCATAAGGAAGTTGAGTTTATGGCATGCTTTGAGGTTACTATTCATAGTTTATGGCTATGAAATTTTATTTCAAGACTTGTAATTGTCGACAGTATTGTCAAGTCGTTGAAAATTTATTGTGCTAGTACCACAACAACCTTCTTTTCTAAAAATGACAAGTATTTCAAGGGTGTTAAACACATGTAATTGAAATACTTTGTCGTTAAATAAAAAGTTCAAAAACAAAGGATGTTAATAAAACATATTAGCACAAATCTTATGGTTGTGCATCCGTTAATAAAAGGTTTGTCACCAAAGGCATTTAATGAATATGTCAAAAGAATGAGTAATATTGAAAACCATTGTTGACATTATGGTAAAGTTTTATGTTCTTTAAATATTTGACACTTTAAGCTCTTTTAAGTATTCTTTTTTGTACATTAATGCATCATGATCCATTATGTTAGTATATATACATGATAAAAATTATGAGAATATGAATAGAATTTGTCTCTAACAAAGACATTATTGTTCAAAGATTATGATATCTCTCATTACAAATCATGCTAAGTATAAAACTAATATTGTGATACATGAAAGGGACTATGCTGAGCTAAAGACATATGGTCACTATGATCCTTATTAATTTTTGCTTAATGATGATTTATGATTTGATCAATTTAAGAAATAACTTAACTTATATTATGCACAATTTGATTTATTATTAAGCTATAGAGTTGAATAATTCCTCATAATTTCACATAAGTCAAGTGGGAAACGTTAGATATTATATGACCTACATGCTATTATCTAACTTAAGTAAATATCTTTTATTTATTTAAAAGATATTAATGGTTTAATAATTATTATATGTTAAAAATATTTTTTATCAATAAAGATTAAAATAGGTTTGTTTTTACTTATGAAACGAATAATGAATGTAATTAAAACAAAAGAGAATTTTGTTTACAATTCATATCTTGAAAAAACGTATGACTTAAATGTCATTAAAAATGAAAGAAAAAATTACTTCACTCTTTCTGCCTATAAATAGATACATTATAATTCATCTAGAGTGTATATGAAAACTTAAGAGATCAAGAGAAAGAAAAACCAAGTTTCATAAAAAAATTCTTTCAACAAATTTATTATAGATCAAGGTTTGCTTCTTTTCAATTAGGAAATTATGAAAACATATTATTTTAAGACTTGGAACATTAAGACTAAGCAAAGTTATGACTCAATTTGCATAATAAAGAAAATTTAACAACCTCATCTTGTAAGAAATGGTATAAGCCTTTAGTTGCTTATTTTATAAGTCTGTCGATGTAACTTTACTTGCCATAATAACCTAAATCTAGTAATTGATCAGTTTTATTTACATTCCTTTTTAAGATATGTTTGTATTTTCTACTGTTATTCACAATTCATATATTTAACAATGTTAACTCTCAAGCTTTAAAAATTAACAAAGGAAATTTTGATTGACTTTTGTTTCTTTGCTTATTAATCTTTACCTCTATATTTGTTCCAATTCATGTACAATGGCTATTCCATATTTATGTTGTATTAATTTTCATTGGTTTAGATAAAAGCCTTGATGCTTTCTTTTTTTTGGACAAAATAATGGAAGATACCACTTTCAATTTTAAGGTTTTAGGCCTTACAACCCTAATGTGTCTTCTTGCATAAAGTTAACAACTCTTAATGGTGGATCAATTATGATATTCAAGTCAACAAAAAGCTAGCTAGCTATATAATTAGCACAAAAATTAGCCTCTCCAAAGATATATTGAATTCTTCATTCCCAACCTCTATTGAGAAATTGTTGAAATTGACAAAAAAATGATAAAAAGGTTCATTCGCACAGATAGTGCTTGTAATCTTTTTCACTGCCAACAATGAGTTAAATTTAATAATCAATCTTTGAAAACCTTTATTCCAACCAAGTAATATTCCTATCCACATAGCATATAGTTCAGCTTGGAGTATCGAACCATGTCTAATTTTCCTAAAAAATCCAAGTACAATATCCATTACAATCTCTTGTAATACCTTTTATAGTCAACTAACCTGAATTAGATAGAGCAGAACCATCCACATTAATTTTAATAGAGGTAGCTAAAGGAGGTTTCTAAGCAATAAGAGAAACTTGCTTAACATAAGTAAAGCCTTGGGAAACCCAAAAACAAGTAAACTCTCTAAGCCTATCCATAACAATATTGAAAACATAAATAAGCCAAGAAAAACTCCTCAAAAACACATTTATTCCTCTATTTTTAGACATGCCAACAACCAAATGCAAGTACAACAAGCCAAGGAATCCCATCAACTAAAACATTATTCTTAAATAAATTAGACATAATCTAATCCTACAAGGACAGGAATGAAATTGCTCCAAGGTAGAACCCTGAAGCCAACAAGTCCACATCATACATGAATCTTTGCAATTCCTAAACAGATGCAAAGTCGATTCATCTTGGTTCTCACATCTTAGAAAGCTAGACGAGTTAGATCTTCCCCTAGCTTTACATGCCTTCCTTATAAGTATCCTATTGTGCATTACTAACCAAATAAGGTATGTAATCTGAGGTTGCACATCCAATTTTTAAATTGTTAACCATTTAACAATTGGACAGTAGATCACCTAGCAATAATTTTTAACCAAGTAATGCTAACCTTGAAACATGCTCTTTTACACATAGAGGCATAGCTAGTGGGCAAGCATGGACCATGGCCTTTCAAAAAAATTTTAACACCCTTATATGTATAGTACTATTTCCCATGAAATTTACTATTTTACCCTCTTCTCCCGTTGAATTTACTATCGACCCTCTTTTTCTCTAAACTTGACTTTGCCTCTGTCTACATGTCTTTTTAAATTTAAATTGTTTGAATGACATTGATTGAATTATATTGAAATATAATTTAAAGAATATACTTAAAATGCTTAATGTTTTTGGAAAACTCTATGGCTATCAATACATTTTTTTTGTCACACATTTTCTTTTCTGATATTGCCCTTTTTTTTTACATATTTGTATTGTACGATGCTATCAAATAATTCCTTTGCCTTTTATTATTTTTTGTATTTATATATGAATTTACATTTGATGGCTATCAGTGTATAAATTCTATACACTGTTAGTGAATTAGATTATACTATCTTATTAATAAAGTGAATGAGATAATGACATTTTATTAACGAATAAATTTTAAAAAAGTAAATTTTTTTATATTTATTTTAAAAATTAATATTTAATATTAATGAGGTGTCATCAACCGATTCACTAATAGTGTATAAATTTATACAATAATGATATAGCAAATAGAAACTCTTTACAAATTTGCGTCATTTTTTCCTTTCTTCTATTGCTATCAAAATTGAGTCATCTTATAGTTTTTTAACATGTATTATTTTTTACACACAAGCTTAGTCAATTCTCAGAAGTTCAAATGTACCCATTTATTGTATTACTAAAACCTCTAGCCCCAAAATTGCTTCACTCTTTTACCTTTTATGTTTGAAAGATTTAATTTTTTTATTAAATGTTTAATTTAGGACAAACATTTGGGGTGTTACTTATTTCAAGACTAAATATATTATTTTATTCAGAACAAATATTATCCGTTTGAAACAATTTGATACTTTTTTAAATGGAAAAAAGTAGGTGAAGGGAGAGACTAAGATTTTTAGCCGAAATCATACTCTAAAATCATTTCACTTTAAATCTCTGTCGATGAAGGTCCCACAAGCAATGTTGTTAATTTCTTTTCGATATCAATCACCATGCTCCAATTATATAAAAATACAATATGTCTAAGGATAATTTTTCGTATTAAATTTTGTATCGGATAATATCGATTATTTTTATTAGTTTTAATTGATTTCGATAAATTTTGATGAATTAACTTATTTGATCAATACGTGAATGTAAAATATATTTTTGTAAATTTTAACTTATTTTTTGTTGTTTGATTATTTTTAATTAAATAAAAATAAAATTAATTGATAAAATAATTCTTAAAAGTTAGGTTTCCTTACTTTTTACTATATTTTTTTTCTATATTTTATTTTTTCAAATTAAAATTCATAAGTATTTTAATTATTTTTTAAAAAAGTAATTATGTTACCTTTTAAAGTTCAATAACTGAATTGGCATATATCATTTTAAAAAATCAAAATATTATTTAATATGATAAATATTTAATCTCTTTCAAAAAATAATTATATTTTTTAAAAATTTAATAACTAATATCAATATATATCATTTAAAAAAATTAAAATATTATTTGATACGACCTTTCTCAGAGAGAGGCTTTATAATGTTTGTGAGGCGACTGGGAAATCGCGGCCGTAATAAATCAATGTAACTTTTTCAGCGGTGCCACAAGTCTCAAGCCAGACCCTTGTCGACTTTTAGGGTCTAGATCTCAGCCTCCGCTCTTCGCCATGGCCTTTGTCGAACCCTACGGTATACTTCACACCGTTGGACAAACATTACTATCGCTGCTTCTTTGATCTGATATATACACTATTGCTCTTACTATTTGTTTGCTTTTTTTACTGGCTGGACAAAATTAAATCTGGAACAATCTTCGATCTTGATTTAGCATTTAGCAAAATGAGGGGTTTGATCTGATATTTTTCCTAAAACAACAACAAATAAATAAATAAAAGTACAAAATTGCATTAGGGTAATTTTAGTTTGAGAACTTTTTCTGACATTTTTTAGTTCAAGTACAAAGAGGAAAAAAAAACTCTTGGTTCACATTTATAAGAAAAAATTGTAGGAAAAAAAGCAAAACAAATTAAAACATTTTTTAAATTGGATAAATGTCTAGTAATTTTCATTGTCACCTTTGGCCAAGTTAACGTTACGTGCTTTTAGCGTCATTTTATTTTATTTTATATTATTATAAATTGATAAAGTTTAATTTTTATTTCTATAAAATAACATGTTTATAATTAAATTATAAACTCAGGGACACCCCAAATATTTAATATTAAATTAAAAATTTACTCAATTTTTTTTAATCTTCAAAATTCATTAAGATGGTCTTACTCTTACAAGATCTACAATGACCATAACAAGGGTTTTTCATATGGTTGAAAAAAAAAAAAAGCAAAGCAATAGACAATGACGTAAAACGATGTGACAATTGTGTCTTTGAATTAATTAGTATAGTTGCCTTGATTATACTATAACACTTACGACTCTTCTCTTTTGCTATCAAGAGCCAACCCCCGCCCCCTTTTTTTGCCCATAGAATTAACCCCGTTCAGCCCATTTATTCTTTTGTGATAAAAGAGCATTATAGGTCACTATTGAATTTTGTTAGTGTACATTAGTTTTATTGAATTTTACCACGATATTTTCTATTTTGTTAATTATTAAATAAAAAAAGGAAATCAGAATATTTTAGGAAATATTTAATAGAAATGGAAGATTTTGCAGTTGTACTTACAAATTTTCTTCGATTTTTGGACAAAAAGCAGTAAATTAGCATATTTCCTAAAATACATTGTTCATTAAAGTGGTTAATCCATCATTTTCATTATTTTATGTTAAAAAATCAACAAAATTAAAAATTATAAGGATAAAATTTAACAAGAATAAGAGTAGAACGGCGAATTATAAAGTGACAAAATCCATTATGACCCATAATATAATAAAAAATTTTCATTATTGACCCATAATAGAGTGATAAAATTCACATTTATCCTTTTTATTTTACGAATTCGTTGAGTATTTATGTGCTATTTTAAACTATGTACTCTTTCGTACTCAATATTATGTTTGGAGCTCCAACTAATGAAAAATAAAACATCAGCATTTAAGAACAGAATAGATGTCAAGCATCATTAGCAGCGTTAGGAGGACAATACACCACCAAGAAACATTACATAATGGCATAACGGCTATCACAATTAAAAGACTTCCAAGTTTAGAAGTTCAAAACATACCCTAACGAAACAAAATCGATAACAACAATCCTACAGAAGCTAACCTGCTATAAGACATCCGTTGGCTATTTGCTAGTAATAGCCACTGCCCTGCTCGGTAAAATTCAACTGAGCTATGAATTCTACAAATTATTAATGTTCCGAAGGTTTCTAAAGCATCAAAAGCTGAGGTATTTTATAAATTAAAGAGTAAAAGAGAGAAATCTATTCCTCTTGGCTAACTTGAAGATTTTTCATTTTAGTTTCCAATTCATCCTCATTAGCTTCACCGTCTCCAGAGTCTTCATCATCATCTCCTCCTTCAGGATCATTCTCATCCAAGGAACCAAGCATGTCAGGAGACTTCTTGAATATTTCCTTCAACTCATCAATACCATCATCAGACATGATATTTCCATTGATGTTTAACAAAGTAAACCCAGGTTTCTGAACAACTACTTGAGCCAAATGTCGAGCCCCAGCCCTTCTAATAAAATTGGTGCTCATATCAACTTCCTTTAAAAGGGTGTGCCCTTCTTCCAAAGCCTTACTTATTTGGATAGTACCTTCATCCTTGAGTTCGTTCTCAGCCAAGTTCAACTTTGTTAGATGCTGCTTTGCTGCTATACAAACAGCTATACTAGGAGCAGCATCAGCCGTTAAGTCATTTCCAGCCATTTCCAGAACTTCAAGAGAAGGGGCCGATTCCTTTAGAGCATTGGCTATAGCAATAGCACCCTCATTTTCCAAGTTGAGACAACTCAAGTAAATCTCAACCAGATCCAAATGTTTTGAGAGAGCTTTACTCAGAGCAACTCCAGCTTCTACACCAAACATGTTGTCCCGCAGGTCAAGCTTCTTTAAATGGGTGCAAGACTTGAGGGATTCTGATAAGGCAACTCCTCCTTCAGAACCAACCCTTGTAGAGGAGCATCGAAAATCCTCCAAAACAAGAGAGTGCTTCACAACATCAGAAATTGCAAGTGCACCCTCATCTCCTGTCATATTATTATGAAAGTGAAGGACCTTCAACTTCTCAGTAGAGGGAATCAATTCACTGATGGCTCTGGCAGCTTCCTCCGAAATACCATCGTTCATTAAGTAAAGCTCCTCTAAGCATCTCTGTGATTTCAGAAGAGCACCAAAAGCCCTAACACCCTTCTCACCTAAGGCATTGTCTGAGAGGTTAAGAGACTTCAAAACACTACCCTCCAAGGCAGCTGAGAATATTTTCATAACTTCAAGGGCCTCTGCCTCTGGTCTTCCGGCAATAAAGTCTGACAAATCAGCTTCTTTCAAATGATTCTTGAGGGAAACCAAAATGGGCTCGGCAACACGAGCTGCTCCTAAACCAAAGCTTCTATTACTAAAGCATATCTTGGTGTAACAATTTCTTGGTTCTTTTAATGGCCTTAGAAGACTCTCAGCCTCTTCTGCCTCAATAAAAGCCCGTTGGCCTTTAGATATATCAAAGAAGGTTTCAGAGGAAGCATCTTTCTCAGATGCCAACTCCTTCTCCTCCTTTGCTGCAGGCCCTCTTTTAAGAACTTCCAACAAAAGTTTACTACATTCCTTGGCATAAAGCTGCACTGCAGCACCACCATCACCATCAGGCTCCCGATCATACTGTTCATTAGCTATGTTAAAAGCTACGTCCTCAATTTTCTTAGCATTCTCCTCAGCTTCTTCTTTGTTAAGAGCCCCATACTTCTGGGTAAAGATAGAATTACAGGTGAGATTGTTTGTCAAGCGTTGCACGAGTACCTGCCGAGTGCTTTCACTAGGGGGCCATAGTTTAATCAAGAATGGCCTGCGTTGTGAATTTGTACTGGAATCCATTACAGAACCTAAAGAATTGCGACACAAATACTTAATAGCCTCAGTAGATATTAAAATAAAGACATGAGAATAGAGTAATGCAAAGACATTACAACAAGAAAACATGTGTGCAATATTAACTTTCACATAGTTCAACTGATTCCCTAAAAGAAAAGTGCAATATTGATCGGAAACTTCCTGCAAATTTGGAAAAGCAAGTCATATACATGCATCCATGTGTATATTTTCACATACAAATGAACAATTAGGAAATAAGAAATTCATAGCAAACCAAACTCTAAATCCGTTTCTTTCAACAATAATAATATATTATAAGTAATAGAATAAAAAAGAATAAATGTCCCAAAAAGACCAAAAAAAAAAAAAATCAAAATCCCATTGAATTTAAATTTCAACGATTGATTGTCATTTATTTACCCAAAAAAAAAAAGCTTAAAACTTCCCTTTGGGGGAATTTTAAGTTTAAAATTTGAATCCTTGCAACAAATTCATTAACATTGCAAAACCAAAATATTAAAAGAAAAAACCCAATGGTATTTCTCTTCCAACAATTTACCTAAAAAAAGACACTAAAAAGAAAGAAAATCTGAAAAATAGCAGCGGCCATTTGTTATTTGGTACAGTGGTTTTTCAGAGAATTGAATCAAAATAAATGATGCAATAAATAGAAAATACTAATCATAATGAAAAACCAAGATCTAAAGTAGTAAAGAAGTGTTTTATTTTTAATATTTTAAACATAAAAATAGGATAAAAGGAAGACAAATTTTTAGCATCAAAATCAACATAACAGTTTAGATATTCCCTTAAATATAGCAGATCCGAAGGAAAAATAAATAAATATATAAAACATAAAAGAAAACCCGAAAAAGAGAGCAGAGATTGGATTGGAAGCCGCCAAAAGATTTTTGAAACCAGAAAAGTTAGAACAAGTATTTTAACAGTAACGGAAACCTAGAAATAACAAACGGAAGAAATTAGCAGCTATAATTGCAAAAGAAATATAATTTTGTGAAAAAAAAAAAACAAGAAAGGGAGAGTTACCCGGTTTAATTATTTTGGGTTTGATTTAGTTATTTGAGTCTGAGAGAAGAAGGCTGGAGGGGCGGAGGGTGGGAGTGCAGAGTGGGAGTGTGGAGGGAAAAGAGAATTGATGAAAATGAAAACCCCGGAAAGGTGAAAGAAACTTCGTAGGTCTTTTCCGGAATTAACTTGGGATTATTTATAATATTAATAACATATTAAATTAATTTGTTGTCACGAGTTAATATTGATATTATTTTAATTTATAAATGTAAATTTATAATAATAAAATGAAGTTAGGGATATAAATATTTTTTTCGCTTTAAAAAATTTACCCACACATATTGACATTAAATTTTTTTATTTTTTAATTCATTTTTTTCATTTTTATCTACGTCATGAATGGATAATATTTATTAAGTATTAGTTATATGAGATTTCACATTTGTTAAATAAATGATGTGTTTTGTTTTGAAAAAATTAATAATAGTAGTAGTAATAACTTAAAAGTGGTTACTAATAAATTTTTCAATTTGGAATATTTTATTTGTATAAACGAGGAAAAAAATGACTTTGTACTAACCAATGTTTTAAATTGAGTATCGTATTTTTATTTCATGAGTGTTTGAAAACTTATTTAAATTAGTTTCTTTCAAGGATTGTATCCGTTCGATGAAACTTTTTGTGCATTTTTTACTTTTGGACCAAATTTAAGTATCAAGCCAACCTGAATTAATGATGCTACATTAGCTCGATCATCTCACTAACCTACCTAGTAAGTCCCCCTAAATGCTGACTTATCATCTCCAGAGTGAACGATCAACATCCAATCAGCTTGGTCTACCAAAACATCCCAAGTCATAGGACTAACCTTTGTTAACCGAAACTGCCCATGTCGCTTCTCTTTACAAGTATAAAATTGGACCATTTAGGTACCATTTTCCCATCTTACTTTATCTTGCTTTCTTCTACTTTCTTTGCATTTTCCTTCCTTGTTTCTTTTTTTGTCGATCTCTGACTTAAATGTCGAAGTACAAATACTGAAACCATTCATAGCCTTTTTCTTTAACCACTATATTTTTCTTTTTTCTTAATTTCAAGGTTTTACCCCTCAAAGATAGCTCAGCACCAATATCTAACATGCCAGGTAGGCAAATTGTCTCAATTAGGACAAAAACCCATACTAGCCAACCCATAGATTGACCAACACCAGCAGGACTCACAATAGAGTAATTTTTAGCTTTAAACCAACAATGACAATCCTTCAAAGAGATGATCCAAAAACATACTTCACCACAAATGTCTAAAGCACCCAATCCAATCACCTTAAAAAACCCACACCAAGAAAAGCTACCAAGTTATAATGACATTGAAGCTTTTTCAATTTTAGGAGAAGAAGAACACACCTCCCAACCAATCATTACCATACCTACACCTCAACATAAACCACCATTAGAAAGTCCAGATAAATCATCCCCAACCCTCAACCGAACCAAGATTTAGAACCTCAAAGGTAAGCCATGAAGAAAGAATTGAAAGGAAAAGCCATTGTATTCGAGGACAAGCTGAAATTTTTAGAGACCTTACCCTTCACTAAGGAAATAGATCAGACCATGCTCCTAAAAAGGTTTAAAATGCAGACTTTTAAGACATATGATGGTATTACTAACCTTTTTCATCATTTAAAGCTTTATTAGACTACTATGATGATGTAAAGAGTCGATGAAGCATTAATGTGTAAAGGATTAGCTACTACAGTCAAAGAGATACTCAGTCCTAGTTTTGTAGTTTAGAACCAAAATATATAACCACATTTAAATATCTCCACCACTTTTTCCTATCTCGATTTGTCAATAACCGATGAACAAAGGAAACTACACTCAGTCCGATGTTGATCTACCAAGGCAAAAATGAATCTTTGAAAGACAACATCATGCATTTTAACATGAAAGCCCTTCAAGTGAAAGACCTGGAACAAGCAAACGTTGTTATTACTCTAATCAGTGGGCTTAGTGATAGAAAGTAGTATTTCAAACTTACCATTTTCATAGAGCTACCAAAAACATTGGCAAACATGTTACTCATTTTGGAAAAATACATCAATGTTGAAGTTACAATAAAAGATAACCAAAGTAAAAGAGGTTCATCCTCATCTTCAGCCTAAGAAAAGAAAAAAAAAAGATACAATCCCCCAATAGGGAAAAGATCAGGGTACCTAAGGGCCAAAAGCCCAAGCCAACAAAGAAACTACATTACATTGAATATCTTTGAAAAGAGGATTTTAATGCACATTGAAAAAGACCCTAAGCTCAGATGGTCAAAGCCACTTAAGCATAACATCAAAAAAAGACCCTATAGAAAGTGTGCTTTCTACAGAGACATCAGTCACAACATTAAAAATTGCATCAATTTGAAAAATAAAATAGAAAATCTAATTAAAAGAGGTCAATTGGGCAGGTTTATTGATCGAACAAGACAAGGTCAAGGCAGAGCAGACTTTAGAGAAATGAATCAAATAAAAAGGATAATAAGGCATCAAAAAGACAAAGAAAAATGAACGAGAATGTTGAAAACTTAAGGAATTAATAAGAAAAAAAAGGCTATAGATAACAGGCCCATCATAAGCATTATTAATTAATAATTGGGGCAGCTCTACCTCAGCCAAAAAGAAGTATGATTAAGGAATAGTAATGGTAATAAGATCCTCGACCAAGAAATAAAAGAACCATAAAGACAAGTCATCTCTTTGACCTAATGAGATATAGAAGGGATTTAATTCCCATATAATGATACCATTGTAATTACTATTGTTGAGTATAATCATGTGATGGGAAGTATTTTATTTGATAAAGAAAGCTCAATAGATGTCTTATATTATGCCATGATGCTAAAAATAGGCATAAAAGAAAATTGTTAAAATTGTACACCACCATGTTGATTGGCTATAGAAATGAAAAGGTACTCGTGAAGGGTACTAAGCCAAAAAGCATCACCTTGATATTGAGTTCATGACGGTGGACGACCCTCTATTTACAACATGATTTTAGGCTGACCTCGTAAGTCTGTTATAAGAATGATTGGCTCAGCTCTTTATTTCACTATCAAATAAAATCCTTCTCATCACATGATTATACTCAACAATAGTAATTACAATGGTATCATTATGTGGGAATTAAATAAAAAGTTGTGCCAACGTCATAATGGTAAAAAGGTAAAATGGAAAATGAAGAATATACGTGAAGTTTACCAACCTTAACAAAGCCTGTCCAAAAGATAATTTTCCTTTACCTAGCATATATATACTAGTAGATGGTAATGCCAAGCACGACCTATTCATATTCATGAATGCTTATTTTGGCTATAATTAGATTAAAATTTTTGAAGATGAGAAAAAAATAGCTTTTATAACTAAAAAAGGTCTGTATTATTACAAAGTAATGCCTTTTAGCCTAAAAAATACTGGGATAACCTACGAAAGGCTAGTCAATAAAGTCTTTAAAGATCAAATTAGTCAAAATGTCAAGATGTATGTAGACAACATGATTGTGAAGAGTAAAAGCTCAATTGAATGCTTGAAAAATCTGAAGAAGACTTTCAATACTTTGAAGAGATATAATATGAGGCTCAATCCGAATAAATGTGCTTTTGGGATAACGTAGGGAAAATTTCTCAATTACATGATCAATGAAAAGGGGATAGAAGCAAACCTAAAAAAAGTTCAAGCCATCTTTATCATGAAAGCACTGATCTCAATAAAGAAGGTGTAGAGGTTACTTGAGAGAATTGCTACTCTAAGTGTATTCATGTATAGATTAACAGATCAATGCCTATCTTTCTTCAAAATGTTTAAAAATTTATTAAATTTCATATGGACAGCTCAGTGTCAGAAAACATTTAAAAAGTTTAAAGAGTTCTTATCCTCTCTATATATTCTTTCTAAATCAAGCACTAGCAAGGTACTATATGTATATTGCTACAACCAACTAGGCTATCAGCAGCTCAATATTGGTTAGAGAAAAAGAAGAAAAAAGATAGAAATCGATATATTTTGTAAGCAAAGTACTAATAGGGTCCAAGATGAACTACTCCAAAATAGAAAAGTTAGATTATGTCATCATCACATCGATTAGAAAGCTCATCTTATATTTTCAAGCTCACATGATCAATGTGCTAGTCGATTAGCCACTTAGGTAGTTTCTACAAAAGCCCAAACTGTCAAAAAGACTAATCAAGAGGTGCTAGCAGATTTTGTTGCTAAATGCACCTTGGCTCAGATTAATGAACAACCCAAAGAGATTGATGAAATAAAAGAAAAAAAATATGAAAACTTTTTTATGGATGGATCAGCTATTAATCAGAGAAGTGAGGTTGGCATAACTTATCAATTTAGAGAACATGTAATTTAATATGCCTTAAAGTTTGGGTTAAAAGCTTTAAATAGTGAAGCTGAATGTAAAGCAACAATTATTGGTATAAGATTAACTATCGAGCTAAATGTGAAGAACATCATTGTGTATAGTGACTCTTAACTAGTTATCGATCAAATAAATGAAGAATTTAGAGTCTAAGAAGAAGGAATCAAAAAGTATGTGAACATAGCATTGGCACACTTGGCCATATTTTTTAAGGTTAAGATTAGAAAAATATTGAGGTCAGATAATACCCTGGCTAACTTATTATCTAAGTTGGCATAAAAAATAACAACCAATAGCTCAGCTCATGTTTTGGTGGAAAAGCTTATAAAGAAAAACATTTATGAAAATTGGTCAACCAAATTGAAGAAAAAGAGTCATAGATGACCCTAATCAGAGCTTACTTAATTTCTAGTGAATTACCCAAAGATAAGGCCTGAGTTAAGGTTTTAGTGAAAAAAGCTTATTGGTACACTATGAAAGAAGGCAAATGTGACATCAACCAAAAAGAAGGCAAACTACATACTTAAGGAAATCCATGAGAAAATATGGGGTAATCACCTTGAACTTCAGCTATTCACCTATAAAGTACTTAAACAAAGTTACTACTGGCCAACCATTAAAAAAGATATGATTGACTAGATGAAGAAATGTGTGTCTAAGGTTCATATATGTACAACACCTTCTATCAATAATGCTAACTCTTTTTATTAGCCCTTAGCTTTTTATGTAATGGGGAATGGATGTCTTCAG